TTGAAAATATTTTTCCAAGGATTAGACAATATATTGAAATCCTCTATACATAAAACTTGTTGATAGCAACTTTTGACATTGAAAATTTAAAACTTTTATGAAGCATTTGTACATTAAGACTTCTGTATTAAAAAGTTAATGGGAGACATAATCGGATAAAATTTTGTAACAAAACAAAACTTTTCAGCTAAACATGAAATTTCTCCGCGACTATTATACCCGACAGTATTCCTGAAGTTTAACATGACCGATATACATATGCCTTAAGTGAGTTCAGTGGTGTGCGGTATGGGTTTTGCTCATTATTGAAGGCCGTACGGTGACCTCTAGTTGCTAACTTCTACGTCACTTGGCCTCTATTTGAGAATTGTCTCGTTGGCATTTATACCGCATCTTCTTACTTTTATAAGCAAGGTTGCTACCATTCAATACAGTTCTTTCAAAAAATGTGTTTCCAGCGAAAGGAAAAGGAAAGGTATTGGTAACATTCTAACCTTTTTAATCTATAATAAAGAATGTTTTTGTTATTTTAAAGTTACTTTATTATACATATATATTATATATATTTTCTCTTCCTTTCACCTATAATATAAGCGTGTTTGATGTAGTTAATTGAATTTCTCAACTGCTTTCAAAAATGTCTATTGTTAAATATTGTGCGTTGACTTCTAGATGTCTTTTTGTTCATTGTGTTGTTGGGTTGCTGTCTCATTGACTTATACCCATCATATCCTTTTATTCATTTACAGTTACACATGTATTTCAATTATTCTACTCCTTCTTTTTCACATCTTCTTCTTCTTCTTCTTCTTACTGTTTGCATGCGTGGGGAATGTAAATGAAAAATATATCAAAAAAACAGTGTGCTGTTTAGAACATTTTGCTGGTTTCGAGTGTTACAAAACATATGTATTTGAAAGAAAACCCCCCAAAAAAGCTAAAATTTGCAATTAAACAAAAATGTCATATCGGTCATGTAAGTACACGTGTCCACGTGTACAAATCGATTATTTTCAGTAAATACGTGTTAAATGAAGTGATTAAGCTTTTAAATTATTCTGTATCATTAAGAAAAATCATTATATAGTCACCCTTTATACAATATTGTCACCTGAGCTAACTGAAAACATCTAATAAAAATGTTGCAATTGTAATTGTGCTATTAATATTCAATGAATTCCGATTTTTGCTGATAATTGTGATATAAAAAACACTTTTGATTATGATCAAGACTAGGACTATTAAAATACACGGTCTTGATAGAATGAAGATTGTGACTAAGCACGTCATTAAACTCAGTTTCTATGCAAGTTTCACCTTTTAATGCTCAGACATTATTATCACATTTTGTTCTTATGATTTTCCTAGAAAATTCTGTTTTTTGTTTGTTTTTTTTTTTGTTTAGTGCATTATTAAAGTCTCCTAGCAATTGACCGCTAGTATAACTTATCTTTAAGAAAAGAGAAGTTCACTTTTCGAACATCAAATATTGCTTTGAATGTAAAAGAACTAAAAAAATGGGAGATTTTTAAAAATAGACGGAGTGTTTAAAATTGAGATTCGTCTATGCGTGTCGGCTTAAAAGTGCACCAATCATATTAAAAATTGAAGGGGAGCAGTATGGTAACGATCTTTGGATATTAAGTAAACTACACAAACTGAACATCCGGGATATTACTGAAATACTATTGTATCAAAAGTAGGTCGAACTACCAACTTAATGTTAGTAGAGAGATTCAAATTAATGTTGTTCTTGTAAGCAGACATGATTACATAACGTATATACATTGTTCTGAATAATAATGAGATGTTGCGTATACGTCAATGAGACAACAGCACAAATACAAAAATTGCCCAGAAGAAATCTAGAGGGCAAGTACTGTCCTCAACAATAGACACAGTTGTCCATACAATATGTCAAGCTTTAGGTCGCCCAACAGTTGTCAATAGATATTAACAGAAACAATCGAATATTTGTCATTAACAACCGAGTCTTCAAATGACGGAATACATTCAGATACGACAACTGCTTAAAAATTGTGCTTACTTTTAGATACAAAACACAAGTTGATCACACCGTTGTGTAGGTGGCTATTGATCAATGTACTTTACTGGCCTGGTAACCCATCGTTCGTCACGCCATCTCGTCAGACAATAAAGATTGCTAGACCGTTGTAACCAAGCTAGATTCAAGATAGTCTTTGACTTAATTTGATATTTTTGTGATAGAACCGCTTATCTAGATTATAAACAGTATAACTGCGTTTGAAGTTAGTATTTAAACACGTTTGAAAATTTGTCTGAAGAGAATCTGATAATCAGAAATGAAAAAGAACTAACTTGAAATGAAAAAGGACAGAACACGAACTATTGATTTGACGTAGGACCGTTTAAATGTGAACGCGGATGATCTGATTATTAATATTCTTTTGTAAACCCAGCTCTATGTTGATGTACATAATTATGTAGCAGAAAAAAAATATGTGTCTTATATTTGAGAATTGAAACAGGTACGCCCTATTTCCCATGTGTTTGTATCGCCCGTAGGGTCAAAATTAGAAAGTGTTGAAACCTGCTGTAATTTGAATATTATAGAGTATAGAAGTATACTGCATTATTAGTATACAGTTTTTATATAAACATAATAGCAAATGTTATTCAGAGGTACATATTGCGGTTGAAGACAGCATAATGTAATTTAGGAAAATATAAAAATAAGGAAATGTGGTATGATTGCCAATGAGAAAACTATCCACCAAAGTGCAAACGAAGTAGATGTAAGCAATTATAGGCAACCGTACGGCCTTTAACAATGAGAAAAACCCATACCGTATAGTCGGCTATAAAAGGCACCGACATTAAAATGTGAAACAATTCAATTGAGAAAAACTAACGGCCTAATTTTAATATAACAAAATAATGTACGGAAAAAAAATATGACAGACATGATTCAACGACAACCACGGAACTACAGGCTCCTAACTCTGACATGCATATTAAGAATGTGGCGGGGTTAAACATGTTTGAAGGCGCCAACCCTCCTCTAGCCTTTGACAGTGGTGTAACAGTACAACATAAGAACAGACTATAAAAATCCGTTGAAAAGGGCTTAAGTCATCAGATCGATACAAATCAAAATATCTTACAAAAACACAGACCGGACGTGGCAGTGTAGTTATATATCCCTCACAACAAAAAGACACAAAGTAAAGATCTGAGTACTCGCAGTTACTGACAACTAGTTTAAAGCCAATAACAACTAATTAAAAAATCATGTATTTAAGAATTAAATATCAATCATACATGTAATGATTTTATTTATATTTTTGCTTCGAAGGACATCTTTTAATTTGTATCAGAAAGACAATATATAAAATTAATTTCAATATAGATAATATAGATAAAAACGTATATATAAATATGTTTAGATAAATATTCCAAATTTGTCAAAATTTGCCTTAATTGCCTTGGTTTGGTACTTTAAAAGTCCTAATTCTTATCATATACACATGCACTCTCAGTGTTACAAACAATTGTATTTGTAATATGGGAAAGCCTTTTTTGGTTGTTGTGGTTATTCATATAGTAATTATATATATATCTGCTGTTTTTGACTAAGCAAATAACATTTGTCTTTTAAATGACAATTGAAATTTGAGAGGATGTGGAAAAAGCACTCTGTTGGATTAACCTTCTGAAACATTGTGCAAATAATGTTCTTCCCTTGAGTTAATGTCAATATAAAGATAAAGGAGCTTCATTCCACTAGTGTAATGAGAATCACTTTATTTCTTTTGAATATAGTTATTTTAACCAAGGTTGTCACAGAAGTGTGTACATTATGTCTCAGCTAGACTATATATATGTCCAATGTCAAGGGGGAAAAGTTCAAGGTTCAAATAGGTCCACGACAGGCTTTTTCTGTCATTAAATTTCTTGTTAACAATTTTCTTGTTTCTATTCAAAAGATAGACAGGTGTTTAATTACGCACTCCTGGAGTTTTTAATAAATTAGACAAACACACACTCCAATAAACATGTATTTATAATACATATTAAGTACATAAACTTCACATGAAATTTAGCCTACAATGTTAGTCCTTCAAACTTTTTTGATATTCCCTCAGTTGATTCTGAACTCATGCTTATGTGCTATTGTAGCAAACATGCCTGCACTGTGATTACTCTATACCACTGGGCCATCTAATGAACCATCGAAGTGACCTCCGAGACTGCCGAAGTTCATATAATCCGATATAAACATAAGAGATATAAATAGATAGAGAACACGTGCAATTGAATTTTTCTAGGTCTGTTTGATTTCACATTATAGGTTAAAAACAATTTAACCATCGTTATTACCTGTATAAGAATAAGTTTTTGTGAATCGAATCAGTCAACCAAATGGTTTACACTTGTTTCACTTTCAATGTTGACATTCTTTTCCTTTTACTAGCTGAACACGCTTAGTTTATGCGTAACCCATCTCTAGCTAAGAGGTTAAGTTGAAGGTCACACGAATACGGATTCAATGCTGTCGAATTATTCACTTGCAAGTGAATATTCATCAGCAATGTTTCTTAGCTTATTTTGACAAAATTGAACCAAGCTGACTGCTAAAAGCGAATTATGATGTCACTATTTCACTTTCATTAATGAATGAACAAAAAAAAATCATATTTTATTTTTTGTTATATCTCGAAGCTAATGCTCTTTTAATAGACCTAACTACTAGATGGGTATTGAAGTTGATTGAAGGCTTGAAAAATAAAAAAAAAAGGAGATGTGATATGATTGCCAATGAGACAAATCTCCACCAAACACCAAATGACAATGAAGTTAACAACTATAGGTCCCGTACCGGAAGTCTTTATTTCGTTAAGACTACAGTACTTTGAGGATAGAAGGATAGACGTACCAACATACAAAGGGAGATAACTCAATGGGGTATTAGTGAAAATCAGCCCATTATAAATGCATATTTTATTTGTACTTTTCAGGTCCAGGACCAGCGAAATATTTACTACCAAATACAGTGGGTACAAAACAAGTTGATGTCACAAAAAAGGGAGCACCCTCTTTCACGTTTGGATCAAGATATTTTTGTAAGTATTAAGACAGCTTGTAGGATATCAATATATAAATGCAAAACACCTTTCAAAGTTGATATCTAAGTATATCACCGTATTTCAGTTCTGTTATTCATTTGCTTCTTTTTGTCTTATTGGTTGTATTTCAACACTTACAAAATAGTATCGTATGTGTCAATACACAGGATTGATAAACATGTTAAGCATTCTGAAATATATTTGTGTTTTTCTTGATTTTAAATTTTTAATGTGTTGTTTTGGTTGCTATCTCATTCAGGGGACACATATACCTCATTTCTTTTTATTCATATATGAAATGTTATCAATTAAAAGAAAAATCACCCCAGATAAGAAGAAACACAAAGACAAACACAAAAAGTAATATTAGGCTAACTAAATTTATTTGTTCAATATTTTAGCCTATGGTTTGTATACTTTTGTAAATGTAATTCACTTTTGGGATATTTTTATGCTACTATTAATTAGGAACTCAACTAATGTTAAGGATTTTAATTTTTCCTTCTTTTTAATTATATTAATTCCGTTTGATAAATCCTGAATATTTAATTTAGAAAAAAGGTAGAAACTGATGTTAATATATTGTACTTTCAGCTCAGCTTCACCTCTTTGCTATAAATTATTTTGAGGATCTATATTTTTCATTCTTTGGTATCTTGTATGGCTTTCGTCTTAATAATGACAAAACATAAAGCCTCTCTCTGACTTTGCTTCATTATAACCTTTATTTCAGCCAATGAATTCAAACGCATGGGTAAAGTAACCAGAGTGCCAGTAGTAGAATAAGCTAGCTATCATTACATTACTGAATGACTTTTATTTTCGTTTTTGTTTATTGTTTTGTTGATATATAATTACAGTTCTTTGAAAGTTTTTGAATTTCTAGATTTGGTTATATTCTATATATATTCATTTTGATTTCCCTTTGAAGTTCAATGTAAAATAAAACTTTGTTTCTTTGTTTACTTTATTTCCACTAAATTCAGTTTATTTTTACAGGTGAAAGCTCTGTATGCTCATATCTTTTAAACTTTTTATTTATAGCAAATTCATTTATTATGTATCATCTGATTCTCGCTCAGTCTTTTTAATTCTTTGAAGTGAAATTTGTCCTCCGAAGGTAGTTTACGGAGACTGATATAAGATATATATTTTTGAAATTATTTTTACGATATGTTTGTTTCTATTAATTTTATTACTGGTATAAATCATTGGTATATAAGCTTACAATTGAAATCTATGTCACAGAAATAATTTGAATTTGGGCCCTTTCATTGGTACCCTGGATTACTAAAAAAATGATTAAATTGTAAGCCTATAACAACTAAATTTATTTCACGCACTCGTAGTTTTGGGTCATCTTTAGGCATTACAATATCAGAACTTGATAGAACCTAGTGGCATACGTATATTAAAGAAAGCCGAAGAATCTGAATAAAGAATTTTTCAACATCTTTCCATATGCCATATGATTCTGTATTATAAATTGTTGTTGCAGATAATTTGAGTAACTAATGTAAATGTTTTCGTAAAATATTGCTTAGAAGAACATGAAATTCATTGGAGTCTGAAAGTCAATACAAAGCTTTTCATTGTATAACATTTTGGTTTATGTTACGCATGACATTGAGTATTCTTTTTTAATTAATACTCGAAATCTTCAAAATTACAGTTTTGAACCATCTTTATGCATTAATATTCATAGCAACAGACACAATGTTACTTATAGACTCGACCCAGTGTACACAAATGAATGGATACTGTACTTTTTAAAAAGGCTCTAGCATAAAATAAATTCATGGTTAGACTTTTAGTGAAAACCAGCAAATTTAATCCTTACCATTACTTAGAAGTGGCATGAATGGGAGATTAAGTTTAAGTATTCATGTTTTCGTCTAATTTAGAATACACACATCATACAAGCTAAGTTGTCCATGTTGATTTTGAATCAAAGAAAGGGTGGCATCATTGGTCATTGCCTAATAATTGTTAACCTACGTATTATCAAGAATCTTTATGCAAACCTTATCTGCCGTGTAGCTTTTTCAAGTAGTCCAAAGCATTATGATAAAACCCAGTTCTCTGTTTATCAGCTCACAATGTACAATGTGTTTTACCTGTAAATTCTTGTATTCTTATTACAGCTCGCAGCAAGAAAAATTTTATCGATAGGTTCTTATCATACGAATCCATTTTATAAATTAGGAGATCTTCCACTCCACGAATGTAGTTTAAATTCCGACTTTTCTCGTGGAATGTCACTGAACATTGACAAAAGTTGTAAATTTCTTAATTTATTTTGCCTTTTTAACTTTTTTGATTCGAGCGTCACAGATGAGTCTTTTACAGACAATACGACCGTCTGACGTACAAAATTTCAATGCTGGTATCTATGATGAGGTTATTTACAGAAATTTAAGATATTTATGTCAGTCTCTTATTAATATATTCTAATTTCGCGTACTTAGCCTATGACTTGGTCACCCTTTGATTTTAGAATTATTCTAGTTCAAATAAAAATAAGGCGATGTGGTTTGATTGTCAATGTGTAACTATCCATTAGAGACCAAGGGACGAGGATGTAAACAAAAATAGGGCACTGTACTGCCTTCAACAATGAACAAAACCCATAAAGTATAGTAAAGCCATAAAAGCCTCCGACAAGAAAATTTGGTTGTGGAATCAACCTATGGATGGGAACATATGTACTCTTTCTAAGATCAATACCGACTGAAATATAAGGAAAAACCGCTCAATGGTTAATAACAACTAACGAACAAACTCCAAAACCATTAATGATTAATTAATAACATTTTAACTGATGTCATGTGTTAGGACAATGCCACGCAATCTGTTAAAACCCTTAAAGTAGCGCCTTTATGGATGTGTTGATGAACTATTGCAAGTTAAAATATCTGCTTCTGCTGATAATTCCCTCCTTTTATTTCTAACGATCTCGTCCAGATTTCTTACTCGGTATCCTTGTTTGTCCAATTTGCAGGGCCCATACAAGCAATTTGTTCTAATCCTGCATGTATGTTTACATGCAATAGATGCTGCTGAACACTGTATAAAAGTAATCGAGTAATCATCAATTAAATGGATACTAATGCAATATATACCAAATAACTACAAACGTGCTTTGATATCAAAGTTACATCAGATCGCAAATATTCTGGTACTGGCAAGGTGTGTGTACGTCCATGTTTAGGTGCTGAATTACTATAGTATTTTCAGATATACATATGCATTGTATAATATAGTTTTCATATATATACATATCATATATAAATACATTTGCTGTAATTATATTTAATCTGTATTACAGTGGATAAAAGTTTTAGTCCAGGCCCAGCTTATAACGTTGATAGTACATTTACATCTAAAGGGAGGGGTGGAGGTCCAAGTTACAGTTTTGGTGGACGTATCAAAACACCAAGTGAGTATAGATAGTTGTTCTAAATAATTAACTTTGTGAAAGATAAGGGAACCATAATATAATAAGTATTTACATAAAGGGTCTTTGTGTTAAGTAAAACACAAATAAGTTTGACATCTATATAAGTTAGCACATGGTTCCTGACAATAGTCACGTGTCTATACAATACGACAAACTCGTCAAACTCTAAACAGTTGAAACAGTATTGATAGAATATAAGATCTACCACCAAGACCAAACTCTGCAATGAACAATACAACCATTGATGAAGTTCCAGACTCGGGAATGGTACGAGCGCAACCGAACGACATATTTCTTGTATTATCCATACTTACAATGTATACAACACAATTAAGAAAACCAATACCTGAGTCTGACATGTTTGAAACTTTCTTCATACCTTTGTAGTGTTAGCCGAAAAAGTGAAGAAGTCTGCGGAATAATAATATTTTATTATAAAACTTGCACTAGACTGCAGTATTGTTCATTATTGTAAGAGAAAAATCCACGTAAATACATGTTGTCCAACGTTAACGTGATTTATAACATGCATTTCTTAAATCTAAGCTTCCCTCAGACAAAGCTGACCTTAGATTGTTACGAATCCCTATTAGTCAAACAGTCCTCAAGTATTTATGCATCCTCGGCTTTCAACGTTGTAGGTTTTGAGCGTTTCTGATGATGGTTAATCCGGCAAAAAGATCCGGGTACACCAAATTTTTAAAAGTTATTTTCTTTTTTAATGACCATGTTACACATAGCATCAAACTTTTCTGGCATTATTGAATTAAAGATTGTATTTGGTCTTCACTGATTTTTATTTTCATTTTATAAATTGGGGAGTAGATTTGTTTTGTAGTAATATACATGTATCAGATAATGTACCGGTATTTTTTTTATAACATATGGGATAAGGAACAATTAAGTCCAGGCGGTACAAACAAAAAAAAACTATATGCATGTCTGTTACAAGATTTATCTTTTGTTTTTATTGAGTTTAATTAAAGAATATATAAATAAACATAAAAAAGTGTAACATATTACTTAGTTGAACATTTGCGCTGAATATAATAATTATGTAATAATTACTAATGTCAGTATAACTGGTAATTTCAGCACGGTGGGTAAGTCCTGGCCCAGGAGCATACAGTACAGACAGGAAACCATTGAGGGAAATTAATGCGCCTGCGTATTCATTAAGTCCAAGAACAACACAACGAAGAATCGATTACACTCCATCGCCTAATGCTTACAGCCTTCCATCAACGATAGGACCTAATGTACCGGGACAAAGGGGTGGATATGCCTCATCTATACAAGGAAAGAGCAGTTATATGAATTTTAATTCAGATTTAGCAAAATCACCCGGTCCAGCATCTTACTTTCCACACAACCAAAACGGAAATAAGAAAAATCCACCGTCGTTCTCTATATCGGGACGCGGAAAACCGGAAAAATACGATAACTCTGTACCGGGTCCAGGTGCCTATAGTCCGAATATGGTTAATATGACAAGTAGTCCTCGGTATCCTATTGGTGTTCGTCATTCACAGTTCCAAATGCCTGTAATGCCTTTAGCTAATGTTAGCGATTAACAAACGTTGCAATAGACATCATTTTACATCTTTTACTATCAGTATTTTGTTTAATGTGATATTTGTTCGACATATAAACTTTTAATAAAACCGTGATAAAAACTATAATACTTTATGTATTACGAAATTTACTTTTTCTGTCAATTTTGCTTCATTTTTTATGATCAAAGTGGTATGAAGCATTATTAGAGGAAGGGTTAGGATTATTCGATGTTTATATAATGGAACTGTATTCAGAAGAAAACTTTAACACTTATAATCGTGACAGATTCTGCTGGATTTCAAAATTCATTAATTTGCTGAAACTACACCCCTCTCATGTATCTATCATAACTTATTGATTGTCAATCAAACAGGTTGTACATTTGATTCAACATCTGTAGTACTCGTACATGAAAAGAGTGGTGTGGTTATTGGAAAAAGGGGAGATAATACCTGACCAATAAGAACTGTTTTATCTGTGATATTTTATCTCACTATATCAGTTGAAAGTCTTTCTTGTCTTTTTGCTGTTTTATCATTATTTACACACAATAAATCTTTATTTTTGATTGTTAAATTATTTCTTATGCATGTTCTACACACAGTGTAAGGTAAATACATTAAACGGTTCCAATTTTACTTCGCATTTCGACAAATAAAGTCTCTTCAGAAATCCAAAATCAATGTTGACGAGGCAAAGGGACCGATACTTTACGAAAAAAAAATAACAATAGTAAAAAATCCCATGCAATCCCTTCTGAAATCAAAATGACCTTACTAACAAATCAAAATCGCAGAGATGAAAGTAATTAACATCAATATTAAACATCATGACAAATTACATCAACCAACAAATTTAAACTCGCCCAAGGAGGAGGTGTGAAAAAAATAATAAAATTATTCAAGTCGTTCAAAAATGATTTCATTTTTTGTTTTTTTAACGCCACTTCCTGCACTGTTGGCTTATTTCGTGGCGGACAGAGAGTACCCCCTACCTTCAGCAGTTAAAACCCAGTCAATAAAAATTTGAGACAAACACATTTGCAACGTGCGGGAGGGACTCAAGAGCTCACAACCTCAGTGTTGACAGGCTAGTGCTACAGTTGAACTACGTATACCACTCGGCCACCGAGGTCCCACGTTCGAAAATAAGTTGGTTAATATAATCTTGACACTTTAATGCAGAAAAGCCATTGGTCATGCCACTAAAATGCCTGAAACATGTCGAAATCGACAGAATTGACCAAGAATGGTCATTTTACACATGCTTTTATTTGGTTTTGACAATGATATAAGCCAAGATCTTAAACAAAAAGATATTTGACTCACATTAACATCTTTGTAAAATACATTTTATAGCAAAATATCTTATATCTAAATATTAATGATAAGAATAAAAAGGAAGCTTTAACAATAAGAAGATGTGGTATGATTGCAAATGAGACAAGTCTCCAACAGAGACCAAATGACGTAGAAGTTAACAATATGTTGGCATATTTGCATCTTTGCACTAAACCTACTGCAAATATGTAAGACTGAAAAATATATGCGATATCAAACTGTATATTGTCTTTTAAACATCTGAAGGATGTTATTTAGCAGATTATGATACTTCTTTTTTAATTTTCGAACTCAATGACCAAAATTGTGATCTTATCATACCATCTTCATTACGAAATACACATAACATTTTTAAGCAAACGCTTTATAGGCTGTATAACCTGACTTTAAACATTTTCATGCAGAGGTAATAAACCCTTATCTATAATCTACACCAGTTGTAATTAAATTTAACAAATAATCATCCTCTACATCATTCAACTTCCATTTGTGGTGACATCGGTGCTCCAGTGGTTTCCAATATGAAAGAAAATGATGTGTCGGATATACGCCAATTAGACAGCATACCAACGACATAAATAACCATAAGCAATTTCGAGGTCAATATGTAGTCTTCCATTAGAGACTAGTGTCTGAACAATATATCAAGCTCTTAATCGCACTCAGTCTAAAAACATGAATTAATTTAATCGAGACTATTTAAGATCTGAAATCAATACAGAATTCGCCAATTAAAAAAGAAGAGAAAAACACTATGATACATGAGCAACACGACGGGTGCCACATGTGGAGTAGGATCTGCTTACCCTTCCAGAGCACCTGAGATTTGGCGGGGGTCGTGATGCTCAGACTATAGTTTTCAATGTTGTGTTTTGTATACTATTGTTTGTCTCTTGGTCGTTTTTTTGATTTTTGCCATTGAATTGTCTGTTCGTTTTCGACTTATGAGTTTGGTTGTACTTCTGGTATCTTTCGCCTCTTTCTTATAGGATTTATGACAACCAATGGCGAGATTTCGAACATAGGAAATGCACATAGATATGTATCGGGGTCAAACTAGCTTTTTGATATGTCAACACTCTACCTTCTGAATCACGGTCATTCCATAGCAAAAGATACACAAAGAAAATATTCAATACATTTCAGTACAGGAAAAACACTTGGCTTTAAAAATAACGGTACACTCTGTCAGCGGTTGTATTTCACACTGTACAGATCAAACAATACTGGACAAAAGTCCAAGGCCTTTCCGTCGTCAAACTATAAAAAGAGTGTTGATGTTCATAAAAAGAGGATTGATGTTCATAAAAAGAGTGTTGATGTTCATAAAAAGAGTGTTTATGTTCTTTAAAAGAGGATTGATGTTCATATAAAGAGTGTTTATGTTCATAAAAAGAGGATTGATGTTCATAAAAAGAGGATTATAAAAAGAGGATTGATGTTCATAAAAAGAGGATTGATGTTCATAAAAAGAGGATTGATGTTCATAAAAAGAGTGTTTATGTTCATTAAAAGAGGATTGATGTTCATTAAAAGAGGATTGATGTTCATAAAAAGAGTGTTTATGTTCATTAAAAGAGGATTGATGTTCATAAAAAGTACCAGTAAAACTATAACATTTGTCAATTAGTCTTTAGTTTACATAATCAATAAATACATTTCTAGTTTTATCAAAGAATTTTAAACATGGACGGATCAAAACTATTTAACGTCAAAGTGGACAACAGCTGTTTATAACAGTCAATCAACTTTAGAATATACAGATGCTCAATGGGGAGGGGAGAACAGTGTAAATTTTGGCCCATTGACAAAAAAAGTGATACACTGACATCTAATTTTTTAATAGAAAAAATGAATTTTAATGTCATACATTTGTCTTTGTTAAAAATTTAAAATAAAACCAGTTAAAATGATCAAGTATGAGCTAAAGCCATAACATTCATGCTGAAATACAAATCATCGAAATTGAAAACCAGAAAGAGTTGGTTGGTATATATAGTGTTTACTGTGTCAAGGTCACTTTGCGCTGACATTACAAAGGAACGTAAAAGGGTAAAAGACTAATTTTAGAATAAAAATGCATAACTTGGTGAGGGGAAAGGGCAATGTTATGCATTTTCAAAGTTGCCTTGTTCATTCGTAATTGTTTTAATTATATAACACATGTCGTTTTAAAATGTCTATCATTGTGAACATATATAATATCATAAGGGTTTTGATATACATCGATGTACCTTTCATTTTCTCTGTTTGTGACCCAAATTAAGCCAAACAAGAACATCGACTTTTACAATTATTTATCATTATTGAAATCCCAAGGGTTAATAAGAACATTGAAATAAAGTCACCGGATTTCTCCTCAGTAAGACCCATGGTAAAGAAGGACGTCCGTTTACTTTGCGGAATGGGAATATACGCAGGTACATCCAGTTGGAATGGGGAAATGCTAAATCCGAGGCCTCGTGTAGAGAAAGTGCAATGCTCTCTACATTTTTAGGAACCCTTGTAACATCTCTTTGAGGGGTTCGTAGGTTGCACGTTTTAATGCAAACTGTCTTCCATATCATGTTCGATTTTTTGTAACAGACAGTTCAGATAATCCGCCTTTCGTCGCGGTCAACACACCTTGTTTATTCTACTTATTCTATTTAAAACTAATTTGTTCCCATCCCGATTATGTGTGAAATATTTGCTACTGAACGATTAGCAAGCTCAGTAACCGCGAGCACCCTCAGATCTGTACTTTGTGTATTTTGTGCTTTTGTTAGGGTGTTTATGTGCTTTGTATCGATCTGTTGAGTTAAGCCTTTTCCAACTGATAGTTTGTTCTTATGTTGCACTGTTACACCACTGTCCCAGATTAGGTGAAGGCTTGGCGCCAGCAAATATGTTAAACTCCGCCACATTCTATATGTGCCTGTCCCAAGTCAGGAGCCTGTAATTCAGTGGTTGTCATTTGTTGCTGTATTTCATATTTGTTTTTCGTGTATTGTTTTTTACATAAATCAGGTGTTTAGTTTTCTCGTTTAATTTTTTTTTGTACATTTGTCATTTCGGGGCCTTTCATAGTTTACTATGTGGCATAGGTTTTGCTCATTATTGAAAGCCGTACGTTGACCATTTGTTGTTAACTTCTATGTCATGTGGTCTCTGGTGGAGAGTTGTCTCTGAGTCATTGGTAATTATACCACCTCTTTTTATTTTTATAAGAGTTATAAAGAATTTACGTCTAAGAAGTTAGATTACCTTATAGTGCCTAGTAATGAATAGATATGTAAATATTGAAGTATAAGACCCTCTTCGTTTTTACATTATATGTGATGTACAATATATCTGCTTTTGAAATTCTTTTAACAAAACCATTGATTTTATGATACCTGGGTAAACGTATAAATACACTCATCATAGATACCAGGATTGAAATTGTGTACGCCAGACGCGCGTTTCGTCTTCAAACGACTCATCAGTGACGCTCGAATACAAAAAGTTAAAAAAAAAGTCCAAATAAACTACGAAGTTGAAGAGCATTGAGGACCCAAAATACATATAGATTACATTGCGTGGAAAGGAGGATAACTCTAGTAGAACTTTAAGACTAATGCATATGACAATATAAAATACCGATACAGTTTAAGATTTAATTTAGAACATTAAAGAAAATTTGAAAATAAATTATCACAAAGATTATATCATATTATATATTTTTTTAGAACAAATAACTCTTATACATATATGTAGTACTCAATTTATTATAAATACTTACCCAGATTGATTTTTTTATATTTTGTACAGATAACAGTTGTATCAATTTATCAGTATAAGGGTGTCTCCAATACTTTTGTTTGATAAAGTTTTTCTTGCGTTAACCAAGGATTTGTATAGTGAACATATTTATCACATCCTAGTAAAACGTTACATTCGTCTTCAATGGATCTTGTATATAAATAGCTTATTCTCATAAAATCATGCAAGAAAAAAGTTTACAACGAGAAGCTTAAATAATAATAAACATTCATAAAAATGAGACGAGATAGCGTATAAAAATTTACTTACAAAACAAATAAACAAATTAAAAAACATTTTTAAGAAATGGTTTTAGTCATATATATGTTATATGCCATGGTTGTGTAGAAGGAGTAATTTTACTTTTCATACATATCGTTTAAAATTATAAAGCTCTCTGAGTGTCTTCGGTTTTTCTTTAACAAGCTTAAATTTGTATATTTAG